AAAAAAAAAAAAAAAAAGAAAAGCAAACCTAGTTAATCATACAGTTCTTAGAGTTTGTAAGACAAAAAAGAAACCCATTTTTTAGATCAATTATTATATAACCTTCAAGCCTAAAATACTATGGGTGCTAGAAATGTATATAACAGTGAAGAATAACGTTTCTAAGTAAATATTCCATGTTAATTGCTCTAGGGAAAATTTTGTGTGCTTAAGTTCTGGAAAGGTAAACTGTAGAAAGCTGGAGAAATATGTCCTAGATGGATAGACTACTAGAATGTGAAAGGAATTACCTGAATCTCAACATTTTAAGAGATAACTTTCCTCTTCTTTTTGGTATTTATTGATGTTTTAGGTTTTGATGTGGCCAAGACAGGTGATGCTCGAATTGGTTTTGTGGGTTTTCCATCAGTGGGGAAGTCAACACTACTTAGCAACCTGGCGGGAGTATATTCTGAGGTGGCAGCTTATGAATTCACTACTCTGACCACTGTGCCTGGTGTCATCAGATACAAAGGTGCCAAGATCCAGGTGAGTCAGGCCTGCAGGCCACAGAAGGGAAGAAATCCAGTCTTTCGTTAATTTAAAAAGCACTTACGGGAAGCTGTGCGTATGCCAGGCCTAACCTTTGAACTACTAGGCCCTTTCTGTCTAGCAAGCATGATAGAGTAGTACATACAGACAGTAATACAGTGGGATAGTGCCTGTCAAAACACATAGAAAGAAGGGACTGCTTTTTCACCTGAGTATATTGGGGGAATGTCTGGTAGAACTAAAAAAGCTTCGTGTAGAAAATGACAATGGAGGAGTGTCTGGGTGGCTCAGTCGGTTGAGCGTCTGACTCTTGATTTTGGCTTAGGTCATGGTCTCATGGTTCGTAGGATTGAACCCCATGTTGGGCTCTGTGCCTTGGACTGACTGTCTCTCTCTCTCACAAAATAAATAAACGTTAAAAAAAAAAAAAAAAGAAAATGACAGTGGAGGTGGGTCTTGAAGTTCAAATAGAATTTTATCAGCCAGAGAAGGTGAAGGGCAATTTCAGGCAGCCATAATGGTAAATAGCTTGCTGTGGTGCAAGCTTAGGTGTGGACAGGAGTGGTAGAAACTGAATCTGGAAAAGTAGGTTGGAGCTTAATTATGAAGGCCTTTGTGTGCCCGCTAAGGAAGTTGAATTTTATCTTCTATGTAGCTAGGAACCATCAGAAACTTTAAAAAAAAAGAAATAACGTGATAAAATCCTTTTTGGAAGATAATTCTTATCCGTGAGGCCTGATGAAGTTAGTGTCCTGAGTTTTTCTTAGATAGATGATAGATTTAGGGCTCCCAAATGAAGAGTTCCTTTGGGTATGAAAGAAGGTGTACGTAAATGTAAGATATAATGGAACATATTCTTGTTGGCTGCACAGCTAAGAAAGCAAGATTCTGATTTTTTTTTTTTTTTAAGATTCTGAATTCTATGACATTTGAATCTAGGCTGGAGGTTCCCAGACTTGCTTGATTCACAGTACCCTTAGTGTCTTAGTAATTATTTCCTGACAACTTTTCTTCTCCCAGTAATTTTTCATGGCACTCCAGGCCAAAATAAATACCTAATGGTTTAGTTTGTTAGGTCCAAGCAACAACCTAAGTATTTATGTCCTTACAGCTACAGTTATTTATTAATGGGATGTGTGCACTGTTGGGTACCACATAACTTCTCAAACCGTGGAATCAGATTGGATACCACCACATTTGTTTCCTTTTCCACATTGATTTTTGTGTGGTGCTTTTTATTATAGCCACTGATGAAAAATCTAACTTCCCAAAATTTTGATCTGACATAATTGAAAGCAGTGTAGTAGGCTGTAGTGTTGAAATTGTGAAGTATGTGGAGCTAGTAGTTTCCTCATTGTCTGACATATATCAAGAATTGCTGTTTCTCTTGAAAATTTAGAATATCCCATGGGACTCTGAGTTCTCTGTGGTGCCACAGAGTACCGTGGCTCATTGTTAGGGAACTCTTGGTATAAGCATTTGTTTTCCCTCTTGCTGAGCTATGCAGAGAGTTGTAAAGTGTATTCATACTTCTTTATTATAGAATCTGAAGTAGGAAGGGACCAGTATCTTGGTAATATCTTCTTTCCTTTTTTTTAATGTTTATTTATTTAAAAAAAATTTTTTTTAACATTTATTTATTTTTTGAGAGACAGAGAGAGACAGAGTATGAGCAGGGGAGGGGCAGAGAGAGAGGGGGAGTCACAGAATCTGAAGCAGGCTCCAAGCTCTGAGCTGTCAGCACAGAGCCCGACGCAGGGCTTGAACTCACAAGCAGTGAGATCATGACCTGAGAGGAAGTTGGACGCTTAACCGACCGAGCCACCCAGGTGCCCCATAATGTTTATTTATTTTTGAGAGAGAGAGAGTGTGTGCATGCTAGCACTAGCTGGTGGGCGGGGAGGCGGGGTGGGGAGGCGGGTGCAGATCCAGAGGGAGACAGAAGATCCGAAGTAGGCTCTGACAGCTGACAGCAGAGAGCCCAATGCAGGGCATGAACTCATGAACCTTGAGATCATGACATGAACCTAAATTGACACTTAACTGAGCCACCCAGGAGTTCCACCTGGTAGTATTTTCAATGGCTTTTTTTTTTCCTGCTGGTTAGGTGCCCATGCAGATCTTTCTGGTACTCCATGTTCAAATGTATATAATAAGAGTGAGGATGCTTGGGCATATCTGGACCACTGCTTGATTGCATCTTGTTTCAGAGTCTTACCAATAATCACAGTTTTGGCAGCTCCTAGAATAACCTCTTCCCTGATGAGATGCCATTGACATCTCTTTTAGGGCTTCTGAGTGTATCAGAATAAAGTTACTTAGCCCCTTTCTTTACTTGTGTTTCCCACAAAGCATTCATTTCAGTGTCTCCTGACCTTTTAGGTGTTTTCCCCCTTTTTTGCATGGTGCTTTCTTTTCTGCCTGTGTACTCTCCTCTCTTTTTCCTTCCCTTCTGACTTTCTCCAGAAACCAAGTTAAGGAGTACACAACAGGATTAAGATGACTGCCCTCGAATGTTTTTTAAATGGTTGTTTTGTGGCAGAGCACTCATTATCTGTGACTTGGAAGGGAGAGGTGTACAAAATTAGAACCATTTACTACTAAGAATTATAAGGAGGGAGATTTCTGGGTTTTTTGTTAGGAAGGATGATGTTTTTTAATAGTAAAGGTGTCTAAAAATGGAATGGTATCTCCTGAGACAAAGAATTACTACGTCTGGAGGTGACTGAACCACCACTTACCAGGGATGTTATAAAGAAAATTGATGTATCACATAGGCGGAGATTAGCCTGCAGAGAGGATGTTCAGTTTTTAAAATTATGGGGCTTGTTTTCACCTTGCTAGTGTCCCTAGCACTCCTGTTGTTCTATGTATATAATTGATTTGCATATTTAAGTTAGTTGCTTTAACCTCTAAAGGCATTTGAGTTTGAATTAGTTTAACATTGAATTCTTAAAATCCTACAGTTTCATGATTTAAACAAATATTTATTCTTATCTCTTGGTTGTAATATGAAATTCAGATATGTTAAGCATGCGTTATTTTATTGAATGAAATTTGATTGCCACGTCTATAGCCATATCACCCTGAATGTGCCTTGATATTGTCTGAAATTTAGTTGCCACATTTAAATGGTTCATTCTAACCTTAAAGATATTTCCCTCTCAAGACAAGCTAAAATTAAGTTGTTTTTACTTTTCTAGGGCCTCAATAAATTTTCCCCTGCGTTTTAGCTGCCATAGGTAGAAAACTTGTGTTCTTTTCTCTCAGTGTAATATTCTCTTTCAGATGCTGTTTTATATGATATTATAGTCATATTCTATGTTTAAGAGTTTTAGATTATCCAGATGGATTTTCCTTTTGAGTTTTTGATAGCATCAGCGAGGTTCAGTGTATATAGTAAAGCCTTTTGCTTATGTATATATATATAACACATATTATATTATACTTATATAATTATTATATAGAATATATATTGTGTGAAATATATAATTAGGTTATAATTATATAATTAAATATAATATATAATTATATATATTATATATATCATATATAATATATATAGCAGAAAGAGATTTACTAAGTGTTAGATTATAGACTCTTTGGGAGAGTTGAAGTAGACTCTAGACTTAATTTCTAGGAACAACTGATGATGAACTTTTTTTTTCAAACCTCTTTATTGAGGTGTAATTTACATACAATAGACTAGATAAAGTATAAAATTTAGTTAGTTTTGACATAGCTATATACTGGTGTAAACATCACCACAATCAAGATCATGAACATACCAACCCCAGAAATTTCCAAATGCCCCCTCCCTCATGGTCCCCTTCATCTCCAAGCAATTACTTATTTATATTTTGTCATTGCAGATTAGTTTACAGGTTGAGTTGTGTATAAATAAGACCATGTGTAAATATAAACGTACTCTCTTTTGGTTAGCTTCTTTCATTCAGCGTAATTATTTTGAGGTTCTCTTGTATCACTCATCTTGATGCCCCTGATGTTAATATTCTACATAATCACAGAAGAATTACTAGAGATAGATTAATATAGATGCAGTGATCACTAAACTACAGACTGCAGATTTTTACCAATTTTCCCACCAAATGCCTTCTCATTCCATGGTGCATTTAGTTCTTTTTTTTCATTCTCCTGCTGTCTGTAATAATTACTCTGTCCTGTCCTTTAAGACCTTTACACTTAAAGAGTACTGAGTAATTGTTCTGTAGAATGTCCCTCAGTTTGGGTTTGTCTGATATTTTCTCATAATTAGACTGAGGTTTTAATATATTTTTGGCAAGAATGCCCTGAAGTGATGGTGTGTCCTTCTCAGTGCATCTTATCATGGGATTCATGATGTTACATGTTTTAAATGCTGTTGCTGACCTGCATTGGTTGGTTAAATACATTAGTATCTATAGGATTTCTCTACTGTAAAGCTATTATCTTTCTTTTTTAAAAAGTTACTACCTTTCTTTTTGTAGTTAATAAGTATCTTGGGGGAGGTACTTTGAGAAGATGCAAATCCTGTTTCTCAAACTTGCCCACTCATTTTAGTGTTCATCTGTGGATCCTGTCTGCAGTAGTTATTACTCTGCTTCTGGCCTAATAGTGATTCTTTTTTTTTCTCTTTCCTACTACATGTTTTTAATTGGAATTCTGTTTGGAAGAATTTTTCTGTCGTATTTATTCAATAGTATATATCCATGTAGGCTCATGGATATTTATTTTATGGGTTATAGTCCAGTACTGCCATTATTTTACTACTCGTATTGTTCCAGTTTTGACAATTAGGATCTCCTTCATGTTGGCTCTTGTGTTCTTTTCCATAAGCCCCCATCTTTTTGAGAGTACTTATTTTTTGGCAAGACAATGCTAATCTTAGATTTTTTTCTCTGCTCTAGCCCTGAAGTCAACCACTTCTGAAGGAACTCTAGTTTCTTTTATTGGAGAATGATGTTTAGAAATCAAGATCTGGTGTGCTTATTACTTCCCATGTAGCCTTGTAAATCAGAGTAACTAAAGTTTCCAAGACAAGGTTGATGTATTCAACATGCATTATCTTTTGTGAAGAGAGAGGATTTTGTTGTGTTATATTAGTCTTAGAGAAGGTAACATTATTATGTAGTGAAGAATAGGGAGGAGATTTGAGTAGGTTCTTGAAAGGAAAAGTTGAACTGTTTAAACACCTTCTGAATTCTTTTTCATTGTGGTTTATTTAATGTGAAGTATGTTTTTATAAGGTCAGATGGGCTTATAGCAAAAGCTAGTTTTAAATGATGTTTTGATGAGCTGCAACTCTGTTCCTTGTCCATTTATGTGGATAATTCAGTATTGGCCATGCAGTGGACCCTTGGTATTTTCAGATTTTGTATATGCTCTTAACTGTTTTCAGTGGACTCTTAAGGGCTTATGACTAATAGTTTGCAATTTTGCTGAGATGTGCATTTGATTTGTGTGCTATGAAGTTGGTTTTTATGTTCTTACTATTAGGTATACACAGTAGGACTTCTCTGAAGTTTTACTTTACTGCATTTTCTGGGCATTTGAGCGGTCATTTTCAATTGGGAACACACATCAGAGTCACCCATGGAGCCTTTTGAAGTACATATCAATATGTGAACTTTGCTCTTCTAAATTAGAATTTGCAGGATGGGGCTCAGATATCTGCATTTAAAAAGGTTTTGCAGGTGACTATTCTGTGCTCACCAGCTTAAGAATGACTGCAGAAATTTTTGTGAATTGGGCAATTTGGAAGATTGGCAAAGCTCTGAGTGTATCATGTGAATATCAAGATCCGGCTATTGTCTACAGTAAGGAATTGGTGTGGGGGGCTCAACCTTCTGAAAAGAAGGGGAATATTAGGGGAATACTAATGCAGAATAATGAGTTTGGCCCTCAAAATGTGAGGGGTTTTTTTTTGTTTTTGTTTTTGATTTAAATTTTAGTTAGCCAACATACAGTGCAATATTGGTTTCAGAAAATTAAGATCTTACTTGATTTGGACTGTGATTTTGGGCAAATCACTTAACCTGTATGAACCTCAGCCAATATCCTGGTCTCAGGGTTGTTAGACATTTTAAACTAGATGTAAAGTATATAAAAAACTTGTAGCTGACATTTGGATGCATAGTAAAGTAATACACAGCTTATAAGGAATATCAGATTTGAATCCTTTATATTTTGGATACTTGAAAAATAAATTATTCTATTTGATCTGTTTAGATTTATGACTGTTTTTTGTGTGTGTGTTTTTTTTTTTTTTTTTCCTTCTCTCCTTTCCCCATCCTTAATCTTGCAGCTCCTGGATCTTCCAGGTATCATTGAGGGTGCCAAGGATGGGAAAGGCAGAGGCCGTCAAGTCATTGCAGGTGAGTGGTTCAGGGCTGCCATCATTCTGGGATATCATCCCTTTATCAGGTACTGTTGCTTTAGATGGGGACTGTTGGACTTAGAGATTTTACTACAATGAAGGGCATAGTTTTACTTCTTACTGGAATAGAATGTCAGAACCTGAAGGGACCTCAGAGAGTAACAATCCAGATCTCCATTTGAGGAGAAACATTAAGGACAGGAAAAGTGAAGTGCTTCAGTCCAGTGTAGCACTGTTTGTGGCAGATTCAGAAGGATTCAGAACTAGAACTCGGGTTTCCTGACTTCCACCCATGTCTTTCCTTCTTCTTTTATGTAGGGTAAAATGTTACAGGGGTGCCTGGGTGGCTCAGTTGGTTAAGTGTCAACTTCTGCTCAGGTCATGATCTCGTGGTTTGTGAGTTCAAGCCCTGCTTCGGGCTCTATGCTGACAGCTTGGAGCCTGGAGCCTGCTTTGGATTCTGTGTCTCCCTTTGTCTTTGCCCCTCCCCTGCTTGTTTTCTCTCTCTCTCTCTCAAAAATAAATAAACATTTTAAAAAAAAAGTAAAATGGGAAGCGCCTGGTTAGATTGGCTATAGTCGGTTAAGCATCGACTTCAGCTCGAGTCACGATCTGCTTGATCCATTGATTCGACCCCGCAGCGTCGACTCTGGGCTGATGGCTCAGAGACCTGGAGCCTGTTCATTCTGTCTCCTTCTCTCTCTCCTCCCCCTTAAATACTCCAATGCTCTCTCTGTCTCAAAAATAAATAAACGTTAAAAAAAAAAAGTAAAAAAAAAAAAAGTAAAAATGTTATAAAAGGCCAGTCATAAATTGCAACAATCTGCTACTCCACCTCTCCTCACCTCCACCGTCATTCATTAGCAAAAAATATTGATAACTCTTCTTGAGTTCTTTCTGGTTTTACCTTCATTTTTTTTTTTTTTTTAAGTTCATTTATTTTGAGGAAAGAAAAGCCTGCGATGTGTGAACTAGGGAGGGGCAGAGAGAGGGAATCCCTAGGCAACTCTACCAATAACACAGAGCCCATGTGGGCTTGAACTCTCTGAAGAACTCTTGAGATCATGACCTGAGCTGAAATCAAGAGTTGGTTGACTGACTGAGCCACCCAGGCGCCTTTGCCTTCATATTTTTAAATATTATGCTTATATTGCCATTTCATGATTAATTAATTAATTTAGGTATCATCTGTTGGTTTCATGTCATGATTGAGAATTAGCTCTCTTATACTCCATACGACTTTTCCTATTTTTTTTTTTTAAGATTTTATTAAAAAATTTTTTTGTGTTTAATCTTTATTTGAGAAAGTGCTGGCGATGTGTGGTGAGCAAGACAGAGAAGGAGGGGTAGAGTTTTCCGAGGCCAGTACTGCACTGACAGCAGAGAGCCTGATATGGGGCCCTAACTCACGAACTGTGAGATCATGACCTGAGCTGAAGTTGGATGCTCAACTGGCTGAGCCACCCAAGGGCCCCAAGATTTTATTTTTAAGTAATCTCTACACCTAATACGGGGCTTGAATTTATAACCCCAAGGTTAAGAGTCGCTTGCTTCACTGACTGAGCCAGCCAGGTCCCCACCTACCCCTTGTCTTTCAAAGAAATTATATCACAGTTTGTAGTTAACTTATCAATTGTAATTTACATTATTATGTAATGAATATATAACTTTTGTTCAATGCTAAGATAAGTAGTGTGTTGTGACTTCGCTTCTTTTCTCTTGAATCTGTTTTTGAAATTTGTTTTTCATGGAGTTAGTAATTGTTTTGTTTTATTTACATTTCTGTGTTTGCTACTATTTTTCAAATATTCTAACAGATCAAATGTTTATCCATCAGTATTTTTCTAGATACTTAAATATAGCTCAAGAGTTACTGATTTCATTCTTTCCCCACAACCCTGACACTACTGTCCTGTACCCTGTCTTCTTTCTTTTTAATTTTATTGTCTTTTTTAAGTAGGCTCCACATGCAGGGTGGGGGTTGAACTCACAACCCGGAGATCAAGAGTCACATGCTCTACTGACTGAGCCAGCCAGGCACCCTGTCTTCTTGCTTTAATCTGGATTGGTTGCTTTCTAGATCAGCACTGTCCAGGAGTGCAATGTTCTGAATCTATGCTCTCCAGTATGGTAGCCCCTAAGCATGTGTGGTTGATGAGTGCTTTAAATGTGCCTCATGTGACTAAGGAACTGAATTTCAATTTTTTTTCACTTTAATTAGTTTAAATTTAAATAGCCCAGGTGGCTAGTGGAGTCTATATTGGATTAGTGCAGTGCTAAACTCTTTTGCATGGCTGTCATCCTGAGACTTACTTCTGTGTTCTTGTGTGGAATCCTCTGTTTCCTAGAGTCGGTGTTCTTTTTGGGGGTCATTTTTGTTTTGCTGAAGCACATTCTTTAGTAAACTACCAGAAAAAAGATAAATTGATAGGTAAATTTTTCTGTTTTTTTCATGTTTGAAAGTGTTTTTATTCTGCCTTTATATTGAATTACTAATTTTAACTATTTATAGAATCATATGTTAAGTTATTCGTGGATGAATATCAGAAACATTATGCTAAATTAAAACGGTCAGGAACAAAAGACTGTATTTTGTATTATTCCATGTATATGAAACTTTAAAAATTGCCAAACTAACCTATGTGACAGAAAGCAGATGAGTAGTTGAATGGGAATCAAGAGGAAGATTGATTTCAGAGGTGATGGAAATGTTCTGTATCCTGCTTGCTTATGGTGGCCATACAGATATATATATTTGTCATTAAACTGTATGACATGGACACAGTTTATTTTTTATAAATTACACTGATAATATATAATATATGTAATATATGTGTATATAATTATGCTGGTAATAAAGTTGACTAAAAATATGCTAAGCAGATGATCTTTTTTAGAATTCTTACTGTTTTAAATCTTTCTAAACTTTTTCAGGGATTTAGGTTATTGCCTGGTTCTTATCTTCATTCTGACTTGTTTTTCTGCTAGTGTGTATCTAGAAGTTAACACATCTTTTAGAGATACCAGGAGAAAACAAGGCATACATTGCAAATTGACTTCTGGGATAGACTTTGGTAACCTTAAGAACTTCATGTGTGTCTTTATATTAATAGGAAAAAAAAGTCCTTTGTTTCTAAATGGAATTCTACCCCTCTCAATACTCCAGCTTTTGAGTATCTGGCTTAGTTAAGTCTTTAGTGACCTTTGCTTACATATAAATTATTTTTTCCATTCTTCAGTGGCCCGAACATGTAACTTGATCCTGATTGTTCTGGATGTCCTGAAACCTTTGGGGCATAAAAAGATAATTGAAAATGAGCTGGAAGGCTTTGGCATTCGTTTGAACAGCAAACCCCCTAACATTGGCTTTAAGAAGAAGGATAAAGGAGGCATTAATCTCACAGCCACCGTAAGTGGAGGTGACATGGGTGGGACAGGCTGCTAAAGGAACTAGGGTGGAAGGATGTTGACATTTGGAAATTACCTGGCTTCTAGCACTAACTGAGGTAACACAACAACCTTGTAATGACTGACAGAGTAGGACAAGAATCAATCTCAGACTTACCTTTGCAACTTCATTTCTTCTTTTAGGTTATTTTTTGGTATGGTATGGGAGTATAGACCAGTCTTAATGCTTGCATAAAGTAGATGGCTACTAATATCAAGTGTTTTCATTCATTCAACACAGATTTATAGAGCACCTACCATGGGCAAAATGTTGTTTTAGGCCCTTGTTGGGAAAGGAGGGAGGTTGGAAGAGGGAGCAAAATAGACAGAAATCTCTGTCTTTACATTCTGTGTGGAAAAGTAACGAACAAAATTAATGAGTCCATACAGTATATTAGATGATGATAAATCTAAAAATTAAACTAGGGAAAAGGGATGGAGAGTGTTGGTGGGGTTGTAACAGTGGGGGAGATAGAAGTGCTTGATTGTCAAAAGATTTTGGAAGTAGCTGGTAGGAATTACACCTGATTTGGATGTGGGTTGTGAGAGAGAGGACTATAAGATTTTTTCCTCAGCTGGAAAAATAGACTCTTATTATTAAAATGGTAGCACTTTGGGGCACCTGGGTGGCTCAGTCGGTTAAGCGGCCGACTTCAGCTCAGGTCACGATCTCGCGGTCCGGGAGTTCGAGCCCCGCGTCGGGCTCTGGGCTGATGGCTCAGAGCCTGGAGCCTGTTTCCGATTCTGTGTCTCCGTCTCTCTCTGCCCCTCCCCCGTTCATGCTCTGTCTCTCTCTGTCTCAAAAAAAAATAAACATAAAAAAAAAAAAAAAATTTTAAAATGGTAGCACTTTGGGTAGGATAGGATTGGAGGGGAGGGGAAGATCAGGACATTCGGTTTGAGATGCTAGTGAGACATCCAAGTATTACCATCAAATAGGCATATGAGGAATAATCAAGGCTGGAGGTACAAATTTGCTGGTTAGCAACTGTAGAGCCATGGGCTTAGCTGAGATCACTAGGAAGTAAGTATAAATAGAAAAGAGGTTCAGGGATGGAGCTTCCTCCCCAACTCCCACCCCATGATTATAGATTGGGGAGATAGGAAGAACCAGCAAATAAGACTTCTTAGAGAAAGAAGGAGGAGAACCAGAAGAGTTTGAAATCTTGGAAGCCAAGTAAAGAAAATGTTTCATATTGGAGGAGTAATCAGTTTGCTCCATGCTGCTTGCTTCTAAGTCATATAATTGAGGTCTGAGAATTTCCTACAACATTTAACATTCTAGAGGTCCAGATAATATGACTAGCATAAAGTTAAGCTGTCCTGCCCAAAAGATCTTTCCCGTTATCCTGTCATAATTGAATTTGAACATTTCATATTATTTCTGAATTTTGCTAGGCTGCCATAATAAACTGCTATATAGATTGGGTGGCTTAAACAACAGAAGTTTATTTTCTCTTAATTCTAGAGGTGCTGGGTATCTGAGATCAAGGTACGAGTAGGGTTGGTTTCTTCTGAGGCCCCTCCTTGGTTTGTAGATGGCTGTCTTCCCTTTTTGTCTTCAGATGGTCTTCCTTCTGTGTGTCTGTATCCTAATCTCCCTCTCTTGTAAGGATATCAGTCACATTGAATTAGGGCTCATTCTTATGACCTCATTTTAACTTAGTTAACTCTTTCAAGACCCTGTCTTTAACCCTAAAGGTCACATTCTGAGATACTGCGGTTGGGACTTCAACATATGAATTTGGGTGGGAGTGATTCAGTCTATAGCACCTTCGTTTGAGTTTAGAAAGATTATTATTTTTCAAGTATTTGCTAATAAAAGTCATTTACTCTTATCCAGGATAACAGACTTCAGAAAGGAACTTGCTCCTTAGCTAGAATTATTCGGGTACAATGATGGATACTCTTGGGAGATTTTTTTGCTCTGTGACCAGTTACTGTCTTCTGTGCTCATTTAGTGCCCTCAGAGTGAGCTGGATGCTGAAACTGTGAAAAGCATTTTGGCTGAATACAAAATTCACAATGCTGATGTGACTCTGCGTAGTGATGCCACAGCAGATGACCTTATTGATGTGGTGGAAGGAAACAGGTACTGACTACATGTACAGTCTGGTGCTTGAGTTTCAATTTAAGCCTTGTAGTGGAAACATTGGATTATGAATCTGGATATTCTAATTCTGGATATCTTGATTCTAACTCTAGCTGTGCTAGTATCTCAGATAAATAGTGGGCCTTGGTTTTGTTAGCTGTAAATTGATTTTGGTTTTTGTAAATTGAAATTGGTTTTGATTTCTAACATCCTTCTTTGCTCTTAAATTTGGTTATGATGGTTAAATTCCCCATTTCAGTTACTTGCTGTGAACTAGGTTGTCCCCTAAGCTGTGTCATACAATGGTGGAAGGGAGTAGTTCACAATCTGCTGTCCCAGAATTAATCCATCTGAGAAAGCCTGTAGGCTATCCTATAGAACTCAACAGGCTGGGCTGTATCTGTTCTCTCTAAGGGTAACCTAAGGGTATGTAGCTAAAGCCCTATTTCATGAAAAAGTACTATTACTAGTATTTTAAATTAATAATTTAAGCTACTGTAAAAATTTTTCCTGGCATTTGAGCATAATATTTTTTATTTTTTATTATTTTTTATTTTATTATTATTTTTAAATTTTTATTTTTATTTTTTCCTTTTATTTATTTTTTAAATATATGAATTGTATTGTCAAGTCTGGTTTGCCATACAACACCCAGTGCTTATTTCAAGATGCCCTTTCAATGCCACATCACCCACTCTCCCCTCCCTCACCCCCATCAGCCCTCAGTTTATTTGTTTTTTTTTTTAATTATATTTAAAAAATTTTTTTTACAACTGGTTATTTGATTTTTTGAGATTAGAGAGACAGGCATGGGAGGGGAGGGCGTAGGAAGGAGACATACACAGACACGAGAAGGTCAAGAGGTCTGCAGGTCTTGAGTTGTCAGCACAAGGAGCTGCTGGCCTGAATCCTGGACCGTGAGATCATGACCTGAGTGCAAGTCGGGATTTACCGACTGAGCCACCCAGCTATTCTGCGTTTCAAGAGTTTCTTGCGTGGAGGCTGTGGCTGGCTCAACTCCTCAGGTCCATCCGCTGATCTCCTTGAGTTCGATTCAGCGCGACTCTGCTGATGGTAAGCCTGGTCGTTTCGATCAGGCTCCCTCTCTCCTCCTGCTTGCCTTTCATGCTCTGTCTCTCTTTCCCAAAATAAATAAAATGTTGAAAAAAAAAAAAAAAAGTTTCTTATTGAGCATAATATTTTTTAGTTGCTTTCCTGTTCATTTGTTTCTATTTGTTGGATGGATTTATTTGATTTTCATTTGAAAACAAGCAAAGGCTAATTCTTTGAGTTAGGCCATTGTATAAGTGAGGCATTTGAAGCATGAGAAGTTGTGGCTTGCTATCAATAATTAGTAGCCTTGGCTGCCCTATTGATTGGACATTAGGATTGTGACTTTGCCAGATGTTATGTTTTTTATTTAAAAAATTATCATGAAACATGTTATTAAAAGTTTATTTACATTTATAATTCATAAAACAACTTTGTAGGAAATTGACTCTGAGACTTTCCCAGGGACTTACATCTAGGAAGTGACAAAGGTGGGAGTAGATTTAGTCTGTGTGACTCCAAAGCTTGTGTTTCTTCTATTGCAGTATGATCTCTCAGTAATTAGCTGCATGGCTCAGACTAGGGCCTGAGTTTTGTTACTTCTCAACCCATAGTTTACTTTTTCAGACATTTGACCTTATTTTGGTAGGAAGCCTTTTGTGGGGAGGGATTGAGGGGTTGATCTGCCTCTTGTGCCTCTTGAGAATCTCTGATTTGGGGTCCTGAGCAAGGAGATGCTAATAATCACACTGAGAGTTTTGTCAAAGGCTCCAGACTAATGTCTTATTTTATTCTATTTCTGTAGAGTTTATATCCCTTGTATTTATGTATTGAATAAGATTGATCAGATCTCCATTGAGGAATTGGATATCATCTATAAGGTGCCTCACTGTGTCCCCATTTCTGCCCATCACCGCTGGAATTTTGACGACCTATTGGAAAAGATCTGGGACTATCTGAAGCTAGTGAGGATGTAAGTCTTAGTGGAAAGGGTCATATTGCTGTAGGAATTAAACCAGACTGTCCTAAAATGATACTTCCTGGAACTCATTAACATAATTTGTCTCTTTTTGGAGATACAAGTATATTAATTTCTATCATGTGCCAGGCCATATTGTGGGCACTTTCTTCCTCAAGTTGAAAGTTATCTGTGTCTGATCTTCTCAGGGGTGATGGAGGGTTGATTTGCATTTAACACATGAAACGTTCCAAGAAGTAAGCAACCTCTGCTCCCTCTCTGTCCTAGTTACACCAAACCCAAAGGCCAGTTGCCAGATTATACATCCCCAGTGGTACTGCCTTACTCTAGGACCACGGTGGAGGATTTCTGCATGAAGATTCACAAAAATCTTATCAAAGAATTTAAATAGTAAGTATCATGGGCATGTAGTGCCTTCTTTTCCATGGGAGCTACTGATTCCACTAACTACCAATTCTTAGGGTAGCATTAAAGAAAACGGGCATCAGGGAGACTGCTGAAATGCTTGCTTGGTTAGAACTCTGCAATGTCTTCCTAAAACCATGCTAAGTTGGAGCAGGAAGAGCTCTAGAAGCCTCATCGGGTCAGGAGAGCTGACAGTACAAAGGGCTCTGACTTTATTCTGTTAATTCATATTCCTCTTGGCAAACACAAATGTGAATTCTTCTTGCCAGCATCATATTGGCCTCCAGTGGTTACTGAAACCCACTCTAAACCTTAAGCATGGGTAAATTTCCCTAAATCTCTTTCATATACTTTTCATTGCTGATACAGGCTGAAAAAAAAATTCTAACAGGCTGAAAAAAAAAAAAAA